TTTTTTTTTTTTTTTTTTTTTTTTTTTTTGAGACGGAGTTTCACTCATGTTACCCAGGCTGGAGTGCAATGGCGCGATCTCGGCTCACCGCAACCTCCGCCTCCTGGGTTCAGGCAATTCTCCTGCCTCAGCCTCCTGAGTAGCTGGGACTACAGGCACGCGCCACCATGCCCAGCTAATGTTTTGTATTTTTAGTAGAGACGGGGTTTCACCATGTTGACCAGGATGGTCTTGATCTCTTGACCTCGTGATCCACCCGCCTTGGCCTCCCAAAGTGCTGGGATTACAGGCGTGAGCCACCGCGCCCGGCCGACCCTGTTTCTTAAACATTGAGTTTAAGTTATTTGATATTCTCTAGTTGTCAAGAAGCACCAGTTTTGCAACCAGATTATCTGCATTGAAGTCCCAGCTCTTCACTAAATAGCTGTAGAACATTGGGCAGATTTCTAACTTTGTCTATAAAATGGGGATAGTGATAGGTAACTCATGAGGTTATCTGACTATTAATTAAAACATATAAAGCATGTAGAACAATGCCTGGGATGTAACTAGGCAAATGTTTAATAAATTGAAGATGAATAGAAATAACAGTATGGCAATCTTTGAGTTGGGATCAGTCTTTTCTACCCATATTTAAGGACCACTCTTAACATTGACTTTCTGAAATTGTTAGATTCCATAGATTGACCAGAAAATGAAAAATGTGACCCTGTTCTCTGTATGGAAAAGTACTATTCATAAATACTAAAGTTTCTTTTTTTTTTGTAGGAGTTTTTCATCAGTATGTCTGAAACCATTAAATATAATGACGATGATCATAAAACTCTGTTTCTGAAAACACTAAATGAACAACGCCTGGAAGGGGAGTTTTGTGATATTGCTATTGTGGTTGAGGATGTGAAATTCAGAGCTCATAGATGTGTTCTTGCCGCCTGCAGCACCTACTTTAAAAAGCTTTTCAAGAAGCTTGAGGTTGATAGTTCTTCAGTCATAGAAATAGATTTTCTTCGTTCTGATATATTCGAAGAGGTCCTGAACTACATGTACACAGCAAAGATTTCTGTGAAAAAGGAAGATGTTAACTTAATGATGTCATCAGGTCAGATTCTTGGTATCCGATTTTTGGATAAACTGTGTTCTCAAAAGCGCGATGTATCCAGTCCCGATGAAAACAATGGTCAGTCCAAAAGTAAGTATTGTCTCAAAATAAATCGCCCCATTGGTGATGCTGCTGACACCCAGGATGATGACGTAGAGGAAATCGGGGATCAGGATGACAGTCCTTCTGATGACACAGTAGAAGGCACCCCTCCAAGTCAGGAGGACGGCAAGTCACCCACCACAACGCTCAGGGTTCAGGAAGCGATCCTGAAAGAGCTGGGGAGTGAAGAAGTTCGGAAGGTCAATTGCTACGGCCAAGAAGTAGAATCCATGGAGACCCCAGAATCAAAAGACTTGGGGTCCCAGACCCCTCAAGCCTTAACATTTAATGATGGGATGAGTGAAGTGAAAGATGAACAGACACCAGGCTGGACAACGGCCGCCAGTGACATGAAGTTTGAATATTTGCTTTATGGTCACCATCGGGAGCAGATTGCCTGCCAGGCATGTGGGAAGACGTTTTCTGATGAAGGCAGATTGAGGAAGCATGAGAAACTCCACACAGCAGACAGACCGTTTGTTTGTGAAATGTGCACAAAAGGTTTCACCACGCAGGCCCACCTGAAAGAACACCTAAAAATCCACACAGGCTATAAGCCCTATAGCTGTGAGGTGTGTGGAAAGTCATTTATCCGTGCCCCAGACTTAAAGAAGCACGAGAGAGTTCACAGTAATGAAAGACCATTTGCGTGCCACATGTGCGACAAAGCCTTCAAACATAAGTCTCACCTCAAGGATCATGAAAGAAGACACAGAGGGGAAAAGCCTTTTGTGTGTGGCTCCTGCACCAAGGCATTTGCCAAGGCATCTGACCTGAAAAGGCATGAGAACAATATGCACAGTGAAAGGAAGCAGGTTACCCCCAGTGCCATCCAGAGCGAGACAGAACAGTTGCAGGCGGCAGCAATGGCCGCAGAAGCAGAGCAGCAGCTGGAAACGATAGCCTGTAGCTAGAGGCAGTGGGGCAGGGACACTTCGCCTGGGAAGTGGAGACTGACATGATGTGGATCGTAATGAATGCCAGTTACTATATTTTTGTGGACATGTATGGAACATTGTACTCACTGGACTTCAGGCAGTGCTTGGTTAGGTGTTTTTAAGACTTTTCAAGGAAATGATGTTCCTCGGTTCTGAGCAAACCGTTTCACTGTCCTGTCTGGTGTCTAGTATTAATGTTGCCAGTAAGCGCCCCCTCCCTCTTTTTGATGATTTTAATTTGAGAACTCCTATGTCCAGTTTAGAAGTGAGAGACTTCCATTTTTTATTTCTCTACACTCACCACCCTAGTGGGTGCCCTGCACAGAATAATAATTAGGTAAATTGATTTCCTAATCATCATAATTCTATGTGACTTATGGTCAAAAGAGCAGTTTTAATAACTTAATAAAAGTACTTCAGATAGACGCAGAAAATTGGGGAGTGGTTGACCAAGAACACTGCGCAAATATAAAAACAAGTTCTGGGAATGCAGAATGGCATTAGATTTATATTTGGTTTGTTAATTTTATATCACTGTCTTTCACTGTTTTTGTGGACAAATAATGGTTGCTTTGCTGGAGTGTTTCTTCCTCGATTTTGATTGCCCTGTACCTACCCCAGAAGCTATAGTCACACATCCTGAAGGCCGAGCAAACCTACCAGGATGGTGGGGGGTCTTGGGGCCAAGCTCTTAGGTTCCTCTTATTTGGGGCAGTGCCACTGTGCACCAGCTGGGATTTGTGAGTGGACCCGTGGTAAGAAGAGTAGAAAAGGCTCTCAGAGATAAGGTTTTATATGTGTAACAATCCCAAGATTTCCTAGATTAAAATATTTCTTAATTGATTTTGAGATTGGATTTTTCTTTGGAATCAAAATTAGGACAAGAACAGATACACTTCTTCAGATACATTTGTGAAACTTGACAGAATGTCATCAAGCTTTGGGGCTTCTGGTGCACATGATTTATCCATAAAGGAGATGCAGTATGCTTACTTAAATTAATAAATTTAAAATCTTTTAAGTGTGTAAATAATAGTGTTGGTCTTAAGTATTTCAAGTAAAAGTAGACAGCTGCACTTTTTTTGCACATTGGATTAAAATAACTTCCATCAGCAACAAACATCAGACTGTTTTTAACAAATATTAAAGATTGTCAGACCAAATGTTTTCTGTTTTTGAAGTATATTTCATCGCTGGTTACAGTTTTAAACAGAAGTTGATGCCTTTTCATAGCCGTGAATGAGAATTATAAGCTCTGTTCCAGTTTTGGTATAGTGAATGTTCTTTTAACCATCTTTAGTACTATATTGAATTGCCAACAATAGTTTGAATTGTGTTCTGTAAAAAAGTATTAGTCAATTATTTTACAATATGTAGAATTGTAGAAAATGTCAATTTTTCAAATTCATTTTTCATTGCTAGGATTTCTTTTAAAAATACATTAAAGTAATTTTATTTCATAGCTTGTTGCATTAACACCTGTAATTCTATCGTGAGAGAAATTTTGTTTTTTTTAATTGGTGTGTATGTTATGCCCAAGATGTTAGGATGGAGATGCTACCTTTTTAATATTTTTATTTATTGGTAAAATGTTCTAAAAGTAATTCTGTCACTGTGTTTTTATGCTATTTATAGAAGGGGAACTGATTGCTGTTCCCAGGCTGTTTTAATCAAAGCAAAGGAAAAATTATTGAACATCTTGTCGAGAGCTACTTCAACAAACCATATTTTAGGCCTTCATTTTTTGTATGTAAAAGAAAATATACTTCTGTCATTCCTCTTTTCATTTTTTTTTTCATAGCAACCTTCCACATACCTCGATTTCTACCAAAATATGTTTTCTATGCTGCCTTTATCCTGGCTTTACAGAGTTGAAGTTAAACAAGTGATACTAACCTCCATTGAAACCACATAATTATGGTGGTAACCCCCAAAAAGAAAGATTAATTTTGACCACTCTATTTAAATGATGCAAATATGTATCATTTAGCCTGTTTTGCATGAGAAATGTATTTGTGGTATTTCTACCACTGGTACTGGGTTCATATGTATGTTAGGGCACCTGTTTCCTTTGTATTTTTTTGGTGGCAGCAGAATCCTAACATGGCAGCTCTCCTGTCTCCTGGATCCTGGTCAGTAACACTGCCTCTCTACGCATAATGAAGCCATTGTGTTAGCGTCTTCAAGGTTATATCCAACACCCTAGGGAGTTAATTCTGAAATGTGGCTACTCAATCTGTAATGTAGGAGAAAGGTCAAATATGAATGTTAACATTACTCCCTTTTCATTACTTACAAATCATTGACTTTTTTCTGTTTTTATAGAGAATGCCACAAACTTGATGTTAACTTTTGTGCTTAATTTGCATTGTATTGGCACTGATTGAGGAAGAGAATTTTAGGAAGTTTAAATGTAAAGTAATTTGCCAGCTATTAACTTGAGCGCTAATGTAGCATTGTTAGAAAGTGCAGAGGTCGCCATCAAGTGAGGTTGATATTAACAAATTCCTCCTATAATTGTTAGGAAGAAAAGATTGAGATGAGGAAAAATGATGAAAATGTATGTAGTTTTCAACTTAATGTGTTATTTTGTGTAAAGTTATCTGTAAGTCATTTGGAAGGTGGGATTCATTGTCGTAGTAATGCTATTAGTGGTGATTTGTTCTCAGGTAGCAAGCCTACAGTGCAATTGTAGTAGAGCTGGCACATGATAAGGATTGTGGTGTAGGGTTGAGTCCTAGACAGAAGCAGAGAACTGCTCCAGGAGAGAGAATGGAAAGCTCTCTCACTTTCCTTCGAAGTCTGTCTCCATTTTTGCCTACCTTCTTGTAACTGGAGCTCTATCCCCCAGGAACTATTTACCATAGGGTTAATCCTGCTTCTACTTCAGGTATGTAAAGATAGCGTGTTGCCAGTTCAACTTGTGTTGAGCATCATTTGCGAGGCACTGGGCTGGACCCTGGAGAAGCAGTTTGGTCTCTGGCTATTAAAGTGAGTGTGCCACTTCCCAGTTTGGTCTTACATGTTCTTTTTGAAAATGAGAGAGCATTTTCCTATCACCTGTTATCCATGATTCCTTAAAGGTTGCCATACTGATCTCATCTCAGGGGTCCTGGGTTTAATTTATCTGGATTGTGACCGATTTTAGCAGTTGAGTTTTTTCATGATCTCTTCAAAAGGTGTTACCACTTACTAATATTCATTTAAATCTTTTCAGTATAAGGAGGAGGTGTGGTTTAGTGGAAAGACTTTACAAGACAAACTTAGATTTGGATTCTGACTCTGCCTCTCAGTACCTGTAAATTCGGACAAGATGTCTGTAAGCTTCGATTCATTTGTGGCTCTGTCTTACAAACTTGTATATTCCTCTAAACCTTGTATTTGGTTTTGTAATGTCCCATTGTACATTTTAAAGTAGATCATTGGAATGTAGTTCGTGTAAACACTGGCCTCTTTGGATGGCTCCCTGCTCTTTGGGAACATCTGTGATGGCAGAACCAGAATTGCAATTTTGAGAGCTGGCTTTTGAATCTCATACATGAAATCATACATTAATATATTTTTATAGCATGCTTTTCTAAAATTGGGTGCATTTCAGGCTGCACCCAACTGTTCCCTTTCTAGTTAATTCCAAGATGATCTGTTGCTTTCTCACCAAAGGGGCCTAGACTGCATCCATTAATTCCAATTTTTTTCATTTTAGTTGCAGAATAACTGTTTGCTGAGTCACTTTGCTCTTCTTTGGGGGATATTTCTACAAATCTTACACAGAATTACTTTTTATAGCCTAAGATTAAAGTATATCAGTCAACAAATCATTGAATGCCTTATATGTGCCTGTCATTGGACTATGTGCTAGGAATGCAACAGTGAGTGAGACCAGCACCGTTCCTGCCCTCTTGGAGTTGTCCAGTATAGGATGCTTATCTTTCCAAATTTATAGCATTTTACAAGGATTTACAAATAATTTAATGATCACAAATGGACAAACTACTTAAAAAAAATCTGCCATGTTGTGTATTTTAATCCAGTTCATGGTACATACTTTAGAAAGTAAGAATTTTAATAAATTGTCATGGGTTAGTGGTTAGTGGTGCCAATCTAAACATTCTTAAATGACTTTTGGGAATGTATACTGAGAAAATATATCTATTAATTATTGCCATTTCCATAGAATAATTCTTATTTTTCCTAACTGATACTGGATTTCAAGAAGAGGAATGGTAATATGAGGCTAAGATATATTTCTTGAAAATAATAGATGCTGGCATCAAGAAAGCTACTGATGCAAAGAAAATGAGAGTAAAGAATGGTAGCCTGGGCTTCCAGTGACTTTGGGCAAAAATGCTAATAAGGTTTTAAGGGAGGAAGCACCATAGCAAATAGAGTACGCTCAGTAGTGGCTGAGTCAGCAGATGTTCCCTTAGTGCCCACTGACCAGTTAAGGTTGACAGTCTTGATAGGATAAAAAATAAGCTAATAGAAATCTGAAAAGAAAAAAATATTTCTTCCAGTAGTTTTAGATCATGTGCTGCTTGTCATGTTGATGGAATTTTGAGAAAGCATTCTGTTATTAAACTTAATTGGAATGGACTGATTTTCTGTGTTCAGCCGGAAGGCTAGAAGCTTCCTATGGTCATTGCTTTTTCTTTTCTAGTGTCTTTGAACTTCAGTCATAGGAGAGAGAGTCAAAGGGTTAGTTTTTAATAAAACTTAGTATATGTTGAATATTTGCCAGGTTTAGCACTATATATATAATCACTATGTTTTGTGACAAGTCTGGTAGGTACTCATTACCACTGCTGAAAACAGCAAGAGTCAAGTTAAAAATGCCGCCCAATATCATCCTTATCAGAGCTGTGACAGGAAAGTAGGTCCATCTGCATCCAGAGCCTGTGCCTTTGCGACCATGTTGTTGGCCTCAAGCCACAAAATGTGCAGCTGTGGCCCTGCACACATCCTTACTGAGTTCAGACCGCTGTTTGGCAGATGGCGCTGGAGAAGAGATAGAGGCATTTATGCAGACAGCTGTCTATGTCTCTGTACTAAATTGGTCCTGACGTTTTTATTTCGCCAAGATGCCTCTCATGCAGGGTACTGATGCTAAAGCAATATTGTTTTACCTTGCTTCAGCTGTACAGGCTGCCCTCCAGTAATATGAAAAACTGCTGGTTGAATGCCATGGACAATTGCAATATAACACAAAACTACCAGTTAGCCTTCTTCACATGTTCCATTATGCAGTGAGCCAAGCAAAACCCACAAGACCAAAGGCCATCTAGTCAGGGGCCAAGGTAAAAATGGTCCCGTGTAAAGGCCTACATAAAAACGCTCTTGCATGTTAGGAGATCTCTCTACCTATACTCTCCCCTCCTCACCCCCTTTCTCTCTCTGAAAGGTATTAGAAAACTCGGATTCAGATTTTACTTGCACTATTTTCAGGCTTTGTCACCACCTTAGGCTGGTTTCATGATTGTTCTTAATTTCTGCCAAAATGCAAATGACTCACTGCCCCGTGTACACCATTCTTGCTTATTATTCCAAAAGATAAACTCATTGTAAGGGATAGATAGGAAATTCAGCCTTAAAATCAGATACAATGGATTTAAAATATTACTGACTTCAAACAGGATGACAGAGATGTCTAGAAGTTTGATACTTGGGAAACTATTACATTTCATTCTTAGGCTGCTTATATTTAATTAAATTTAAAGTATGTATAATGTTTTGGCTATTCTGTTTCTGTAATCTTCCAGCCAATACACAATAGGAAATACTAACCAGATTGGAAGGCTACTGAATTATTGACATTACTGTCAATAAGGTTACATTTAATAGTCTTGATACCCTGTAATAAAATGTGGGGTTGAGAAAAGAGAAATGAAAAATAGTAGGGGTATATTAATTTTAGGTGGTGTATATCATTATTTTCCCAAACTTCTGGGAGTTATAAAATTATAAGACTTAAAAAAAATATTCTGAGGCAGGAGAATTGCCTGAACCCAGGAGGCGGAGGTTGCGGTGAGCCAAGATCGCGCCATTGCACTCCAGCCTGGGTAACAAGAGCGAAACTGCATCTCAAAAAAAAAAAAAAATATATATATATATATATATTGACAGAAAACAATTTTAACTTTTGTAATATAGTAGAACTGAATTGTGTACTAACTAATCTCTAACATCTGCAGGGTACTTTACAGTATGCATTATTAAGGGAGCTTACAATACTATGAATAGGTATTACTATTCTCATTTTACAGATTAAAAAAAAGGTTCTGTGATTCTGGTGACTGAATTACAAGCAGCCTGAAATAGAATCCTAAAATACGTATAGGATCTATTTATTTCATTTATATAAAGCTTTCGGCTCTTTCTAAAATTGTAATATAAAAGATTAAGATTGGAAAGATTGCATTTAAAACTCCTGAGTTCCTAAATTTGTTGTTTTTTATTTTTACTACTTATTACTATTATTAATCTTCCAGTATCTACTCTACCCTTGTTCTAGAGCAACTGCATTTTTAACTTGGCACTGCACTTCCGACTTTAAAATCTCAAACTAGTTTTGTTTTTTTTCCCCCTACTGCAAAACTTTGAAAATGTTTGTATTGGTGAAAAAAGCCACTGTAGTCATTTAGAGTATGGGCTCTGGATTCAGACTGCCTGGATGTGAGTTCTAGTTCTACAACTACCTGGCTGGCTTTGGGCAAGTTATCGAGCCTTTCTAAGTTGCATTTTCTCATTTGTAAAATGTGATAATATTGCGAGAATTAT